AATGTGACCCAACAACTCGTACCCAGGAAACTATTAATTGGTTCCCTGAAAATGCATGTACCAACTTCCAAGTTGCTAAAACTCAACCAAGAATGATTAAACTTTTTGAAAAAAAACTTCACGGAACCAAAACAATTCAACGAACTACACCAGCATTAACAAAAAAGCCACAGATATATATAGAATTATTGAAGGAACTGAAAATAAACTAACACGATTTCAAATCTAGCCAGAAACAAATTTTGCATGTTAATTTTAGAAACGACTAATTAAAACACAATACTCCAAAGTTCTTGTTGAATAGGAAAAAAGATCCAAACAACCTATAGACCTGTTAAATTACAAAGAAACAAGGGATAAATAAGCGGAAAATTTCTGCCATAAAACAAAGAAAGTACACGTTTACAAGAACTATCACTAACGAAATACACATGTTTTATAGCATATCATTATGACATACATATTGACATGAAACTTGATTTTACTATAGGAAAGATTTTTCAAAAATTATAACTCTCAGAAGTCGACATACTACATCATCCCTGCAAATTAGAAAGAACGCAGAACCTACAATCTCTAGAACTCGCATTAATAAAAAGTTGGTATGCAGGACATTGCTTTTTGAGAATTTTTTCAAACTTCAACGCTTACGAAGGAAACGTGCTTTGGTCTTGAACTTGTACTAAAAAAGTCTCACCACTCTATTTCTTTACAAAAAAGCGCTGTTACAAAACGAATACCAGTTTTTTAACAATCAATTTCATTTTGTAGATACTTTCTCATTCAAACATAATTTTGGGATACCGCCGTCCAATGTGGGTCAAAATATAGTAATAACGTAGTACAACTCAATCCAGAGGAAGATAAGTTTTTTCTGTGCACAACATACCCAACATTAATGCCACGTATAAAGAAGTTTTCACTAGACAGCATATTCGCTATAGCTCGAACTCCAAAAACTGATCTGTTTTCTATGGAAATTTGTTCTAATTCTGTCGTACACATCAAAAACGAACGCAACAGTTTCAAAAAAATCTCACAAAAATGGTCACCATACAAAAACAATCAATTGATCAAAACCTCAGCATCAGGAAACTCGCTCAAATAGCTGATTTTCTCAGACATCTCTAATCAAGAGTGCAGTGGATGTTTTATAGATTTTAATATTTACAATTATCTCAACGGAGAAAAAATACGCCCGCAAGATTTTTACCGATCAAAATTTTTAGTTTTCTTGACATTAAAAATGAACTACCAGCCTTTTCAGTATGGTCCTATTATTCCTAAAATGACTGACTATCTTATATGAAATGCTTATTTTTTGAAAAGCACATACAAAACACACACAACTTAACAGAAGAGCCAGCGTAAGAAAAGTTTCATTGGCGAGGTTTTTTTGGAATTTTCTCTACTTCTTTAAGCAAAACATTACTGGACGCACAAATTCACGACTTCATCAAAATAATGAACAGCAGCGAAGATCCATCTCACATTATGCATATCAGCGACATTATAATGGTGATGAAACATATGAACAAATAACAGAACAACCTCACGCGGTTAGTTTTCGTTCTGAAAACAACAATTCTTTTAGCCCACAATGAGCAACCATCTTGGATCTCTCTATCAATCCCTCTCTTACCCTTCCAATCTTCTTAACGACAACACTCTGTCTTTTCCTTTTCAGATATCTTTGTTTCACTGAAGATACGGTCTTTGACACACTTTGTTCTCTTAAAATAACTCCTGGCGAAGTTCTTGACTCAGGAGCGAGTCCCACTACTAATTGTTCACAAGCACTTTTTACCCCAATATCTCCTTTAATCTCTATAGTAAACCTTTCAAATTACAGTTCATCTCACACAGACTCAACCCCAAACGTTTTCCCCTCTTTCTTGTACACTTCCTCATGTTCCAAGTCCTATGACCGAACGCCAACTAGAACAAGATATCGACGACTTCAAGCAACGCCAGCAACTGATTTATATTACAATTTATCAACTATTAGGCTCAGCCTCACCATCAGAAACATTAACACCATCTAATCCGTAATAGTCCCACCCGTGCACAGCGCATCTTTTTGAAACGCAAATATTCTGCTAATCCAACTCGATATCTCATAAGGCGACAATTAGCATCACAAATCCTCCGTAGTCCTCACCCTCGACGCACTAACACTTTCAAACTATTACTTAAAAACCTCCCATTTTTTATCAATATTCTTATAAAATACCGAACCCTTAAGCCAACAACACTCCTATGTAATTGAAATCTTCCTTCTCTCTAACTGCTCCTGTTGCTCATTTTATAACTTCACTAACCCATCAAAATTATTTATCCGCGAAGCCGAAGAAGATGAACTGAACACAGCCATTTTATATCTACTAACTAACGCACTACAATTTGAAGGCAATGTTTACTTCAAACTCTCGCAAACTGATACTAAACTGTTTTTTAGCTCAAAAATCTAAGCAATTTCCTAACACTCACTACGATCACACAGTCTACGCTAAATTGAAGAAAAACTTTACGACACAAATCCAGCATTTAACTCACAGCTAAAAGAAAATCATTCAGAAAAACAGATTGTATATTTGACCAATATAGCAAAACCAAAATGTTCGATCACGTAATTGATCACGCATTAGAAAATACTAAAGCATACAAATCGTATTTCAAAAATAGTAATCATTTTCAACTCACTACCGCTTTCTTCAAAAAGACTTTTTACAGAGCTCTCACTCACGGAATTTCAAATACCGCCATGCGTTTTTTGATTCAAAGTACACCTTAATACATTTTAACCCTACTTACTTAGTTATACTTACTGTATTGAAACAACTAACCTTCACGGCATTCTCCGTAACTAGACTGTCAAATGTATATATATTTTGCCCCCTCATCAACAATTTCCTCATTGATGATTCTCGCCCCATTATCAACCCGCATAAATATCCCGCACCCAATCTGAAGGGATACTCCTTTTGAAACGTATTCACAAAAGCAAATTTAACCACAAACTCTACAACCTCATCTAAAATACTCACCACGAAATCATTGTCACTTCTGAAGTAGTCAAAGTCCTCCGCGCACTCGAACTTCTTTGGTCTTTGGACATTCTTACCTACTAAAAACGTGATTAGCTTGCTTGCAAAGCTTCTTATGCAACCACCCACCATTGAAACTATCTTCCCCAATGGATTTTTCTCTACCCCAACCGCCTGTATCTAAATTTTTTCTAATTATTTTTTACATGTGTGTTTCACCGGTTTTCTTTGAATTTCATAAAAAAATTCTAAAGAAATCTATAAACAGTCAATTGAAAAACAAAATTTTTGTAAAACTTTGAAACAATTAATGCTAACTAATTCTAATAAATTTTCAAAAATAAGTAAAACTTTTACGTAGCAGTTAATCAGTACAATTATGCAGTAAACTTTGTGCACATTTTACTGAAATAAAAAGGAGTAGTGAAATAAGATACAAATAACGTTTTTCTTTGGGCTTTTTTGTAATCCCCCAATTTATAACTTCTTAACTTGTCCACATTTCACGCTTTCTTTTCCACAAGCACGCAAAACATTCTACTACAATATTTGTGAATAAAAAATTTTCTGGTTTGAAAAAAAAAATCATAACAAGTTAAACTTGCTTTCTACCGTTTCAAATTTTCCTTAACCGAGTTGGAAGGTCAAAACTAAGCCTAAATAACCAATGCAGCTTACTAACACCAAAGCACTAATAACATATACAGGGAAATCCTACGGTACCCGAACCAAATTAAAGCTGATTGAACTGGACAAAATGTTCTTTTGAAGCTTAAATCAAAGTTTCATTAAGAACACATGAAGCCGTTATAAACTCAAAAATAACACAAACCAAAAACAAATCGTTTTTAAGAAAAGAGCACATTCTAAAGAAAAAAAAAACGCCTGACCTAGAAGAAAGGAACCTTTCACAAAAACAAAGACTCTACTGAAAACTATACTCCACTGGCCGAACCCATCAGAAGTTGCTCGACGCACATGTGCTCACCATGTACTGAGAACTTCGACCCACAATTTTTCTTGAGAGTAGCTTTATGGTGAGCAACTCGTGAAAATATCAGAACTAACTAAAACGCTTTTACGAAAATAACTACCGAAGATCATAACTAAAACTGAAATTACTAAAAGATACATATGAATATAAAGTAAAAGATTTCACAGAGCAAAAGAAACGAGCAGCAAAAGAGAGATCAAATTCCGCATTAATCAGACGCTGGAACGACAAGTTTTTTGGCTTTGCTTGCCGCAGTCACAACACTGCAGGACACAAAGTATAGAGCCAACATCGCAGCAAAAGTATCGATTGAACAAGAACAATAGCCAACTAGATATCGAACTTAAAATACGGATTCTAGTAACTCGGCGCTTTATCAGAATAGTCAATCCCTATCTCGCTACTTGATCATTACAAACGAAAAGCCGAGAAGGCATGTACAATTGCTCTACTTTATGAATTCGACACATCCTTATCACGAATCTGCAACCTCGATACGATTTTTTGACTCTCTTCAACTCTATGCAATCTCTTTATCTCTCAACATTAAATGTCTCATCGACGCCAGCAACTGCTACTCTTCTCTAGGAATTTTCACAAAAATTTACATACCATCCATCACAAGAAATTTTTTTTTTTGAAACCTTCCCAAGCCCCGGATGGGAAGAATCAGTTTAATTGATACAAATGATAATTTGTGAAGCTGAAACTGGTTATAGTTTCAACCAGAGAAGAAATAATTCAACTCAGAAAGCAGTTGATCTTCCTCTTCTCTAACCTCGCTAGAATACCTGTATATACTAGATCTATAGAGACTAGGAATTAGGATATGTAGGATATGTATTAGACTAAGAAGTTGCACGATGGTCCCATACCCATTGTGAGTCACAACATAAGTCCCGCCGACCTCGACCCGGGAACAACTTTCATACTAGGTTGCCAGCTCATGAGTAACTGACCATTGAGTAATACTGTTTGGCAGTGTCAGTGTCCCTCTGTACCCCCACTCCCCTCTCAAGGCACCTGCCATAAATGAAGGAAGCCCTGCAGACTGCCTGCAGGATGAAGTGATGCAGACACCCGCTCTGCTCACTCAGTCCCTCAAGGTCATCCAAAACTGTCAGGCTGCAACATCACAGAAATAACAAGGGAAAAGAAAAAAAACTTGAAGGGAAAAGAAAAAAACAAAAAAGAGGGAAAGCAAGCAGGGTCGCTCAATTGGAAAATTAGCAATTTGATTAATGTTTTTTCCAATAACTAACAACTAAGTAAAACGTATATCGCATGCTTACTGACGCACATACACCTGTTGATCGAGACTTCCTCCATTCCTCCCTCCGCCCCCACCCCCTCTAGGCTATCCAGTCCTATCACGGTATAGGCTATCCTATCAATTCTTCCCATGCGTTTCTATAATTTGGCTGCATTTCCAAGGAAAACTTGGCAAAACAAGCTCTACAAGGTAGAAAGTGAGATCGAGGGAACAGCAAAAAAACACTGCGTCATCTTCACCATGCCGCCAGCAGTAAAACTTATCGCCCATTGATTAGTTAATTACCTGTGTGAGAGTTGTGCTGCTTTGTTGTAGAGTTTCCTGTTGTAGTAGAACATGACGAGACAGCCCATGGCGTGTACATTGCCCCTCTCGGCCGCCTCCTTCCAGCACTCGTATGCTGCGTCTACGTCCTTCTTCACCCCCTTGCCCAGGTAGTAAAACCAGCCTAGACAACCTATAGACAGGCACCAGTTTAATAAAACATACAACTCAAGTTCCAGCTCCGCAGTGATAGTACAAGGTTGCTTGCTGCTTTCAGCATTAAATGCAACATTTGCTTGTCCTGAAAAAACCAAACCAATTTAACGGTAGTTTCCAATTCAAGGTGCAACAGTGTACGAGTATTTTGCATTGCTAGTTTGAGAAGCTGGAAAAATCTTGAGAAATCAAAACGTGCTCATTTATTATAGGGAACCAGTTTAAAACTAGTATTCATAACCAATTATATTCTTGATGAAACTATCTCTATAAAATATTTCCTACTAACTAATCATGATACATAGCTAACACTGACAATTATTTGTAGTGCTGAAACTACTCGTAGCTTCAGCGCCAGGGCAATGTGATTATATCTTAGAATACAGTTGTTCTCTTTTGAAACAAGTTCCAGATAACTAACTCGCAAATACCAGTATACAATAGATCTATTGAGTCTAGGAAATACAAGAGCAAGATTAAGATCGGTGTTATACTAAGAAGCTGCAGGAGTCTATCCGGCCGAAAATTAGATAGTATGACAAACAGACGGTGTCCCTTATCTGAAATTACTCCATGAGTGAACCACCTCGGACTTGATTTCATCTGGTGCAACTTAAAGTCTCAAACAAGACCTATTAACTAACTTAGACATAGCAAAATAAAAACAGAAATAAGATAAAAGATAACATCGAAAAATTGCAAAATGTTACATAGCATAGACAATTTAATAAGTACGCCTCAAAACGTCTACTCAAAAATTTCAACCGATACGGCAAACACCTGGTCAAAACTGAACAGCAGACCAAGCTTCCACGACGCAAATTGCAACGATTATTTCTCTACAAAGTCTCAATGCAAGAGATTTTTTTTCTCTAATATGAAATGAAATTTACTTGAAACAATAAAGTTCATTTCCAAGCCATATACTTGTTGATGCTGTTTTATCATATTATAACCATAATAAAGACTGATAAAAAGATACACAAGTCGTTCTTTTCATCAAATCTGCAATAATTTTAAAACTTTTGTTAAAGTAAATTTTTTTGAATGAAAAACACAAAAATTAGTTAGTAGCAAAATTAAAGTTAGTTCTATTAAAATTATCAGAGTTCCTTGCTTCTCATGGGACCTAATTTTTTCACGTTTTCAATTTCTCCCTAATATTTCATTCTCGTTTCCTCATGAAAAACATGACCCTTTTTATTCGATAACTAATATCATTCACATTTTTAATATTTAAATCAGCTGTTTCTAATCTTTTAAATGTTTTTGTTTAACTTAAACCTTACACCTTAATACTATCAAGGCCTGTCCTTGCTTTGTAGTGATCTGAATTCCCTCAAAAACAGATCATAAAGGCTATCCTTAGATCTCCAGGTTTTAAAAACTAATTCAATTCATTAAAAAACTAATTGATTATAAAGGCTTCCCTTGGATCAATCAGAACAACCTTCTTCTCCCAACCCCCCAGGAAAAAATGTCTAACGACCTCAAACGTCGAACGTCGATTCAATCTCCAACATATATCAACGGCCCAGGACTAATGGAAATTTATTGAATAACTAACTATTTTAATTAAGATAAACAGTGAAGAACTTCGGTAACTCATCTATCGCTTGAGCCCCTCCTCTTAGCTGACCCAGGCTAAAGCACATCATAACTTAGTAAGACCTATAATAGTACCTAACGACCTACTTGTGTTCTAACTATTCCTGAGCCTTGTGGATTGATTCACTTTTCTCCAACCCTTGATCACAAAATCACAACCCTAAATAAATGAATTAAGTTTATCTTTAAGAAAAAACTCAGCCACTGAAAAAGTACAACATCATTCTAACGAATTGATATACTCTCTCTCTCTCTCTCTCTCTCTCTCTCTCTCTCTCACACACACACACACACACACACTCTCTCACTCTCTAACCCATCATCTTCGACAACATATGCCCCAAGTTAAGATAACCACACAAAAACCGTAAGAACTAACACTTGAAGAAATAAAAACTCTGCATCCATCGTCCGGAATCCTATGTCAAAAGATAATTTAGAAGTAACGAAACAATAAAACTACACAATTGTTGCATTAGAAACCAAAAATACGATCTTGTAATCACACCACATAAACAAAAAATAGGAAATACCAGATCGAAAAAACAAGCGCGAAAAAATGCAAATATAACAAAACAAAAACTAAATATTCAGCAAAAATTTTTCAAAATACGAAACGCAGTTTCAGAATAAGACTCGCCTACCAAAGCAGACCTCCAGGATCTATACTAGAATCAAATGACACATTTTACGTATCACCACCACAAGCAACTCGACCTGCAGAATATGGACAAGAAATAACTTTTTTCCGCAATTTTTAGACTCAACTCGTGTAATGTTCGCTGATAACAATATATCACATATAGTGAAGCTTGATCTACAACAAATCCTAGCAAGGTTCATAAAAGATTCATTTCAACACAATTTAGATTTAATATCACCAGCAAGACAAAAATTCCGACCACAAACTCCAAATGTGGAAACCGTATTAGCAGACAAAACAGATTATGTAAGGGATCCTGAATGTGCACAAAGATTACCTAAAAAAAACTCCACTCACCACTGATAAAACATCCTTGAAATAAAACACAATATTTGATGATAAGACAAGTAATAATAGTTTAAATTCAACATTTATAAATACACAGGAAACCCTTAAGGGTAATAGAAATATGGCACAAAAGGATGTTCAGACCTCAACAAATTTTGTAAACGAGGAAATAATAGAAACAAAACTTATAGCAAAACAACAAAGTATTTCCCAATTCACCCAACACTCACAACACCACATGAAAAATTACGCCTTCCCACAAACAACACTACAATCAACAGTCAAACCATTCGTTGTTTCATAAGACTCTCATATGGATTATCAAACAAGTAGACCAATTGGTAAAACAAGACAAAACAACAAACAAAATCAACCAAACAGGAATACTTTTGCAAACCAAAACTATGGTATTTTCGCGATTAATAATTTTAGCAAACAAAAAGCAAAAACCTCATTATAGAACACAAAACTAAACTTAAGAACACGACTACACCCAACAGATAGGAAAATCAGTATCTCAACCATTATCTTTTAGTGAAAAACGAAAAAACTCATCGGATCGTACTGAAAATCATCCACTTTTTCAACAGAATGAAAAAACAACAAACAGACAATTTACAAGAAGTCAACCACAGTTTTCTGAAGATTAAGATTTTTTTTACTAACACCAACAACACTACAATAATAACCAACGAAAAAATAATTGGTATAAATATGACCAACCAGATGATATTTATCGACCAGATATTTTTGAACGATACATTAATTCAGATCAAACACGACGACCACAACCGCTTTTTCCGCACCGCAAAACTTGGCACAACCAAGAAAAAATATTCGAAACAAAATCTTACGAATATTCTAGTTTGTCAACCTAACCCAATGCAAAATGAAATTGCGTTACCCTAAAACAACACGAAATTTAAAACTCAACTAACAAATTCTACACAAATAGCAAACACAGCAGAAACACTTCAAACGACGATGATACCATTCCTTATGGGTGGATCATCCATAACATCTAATAAACCACTTATGGTATCAACAGGAACAGATCCTGAATATTCAGAAGAAGACAACACGATATTAAAAAAAACTCAACTAACAAATTCAACAAAAATAGCAAACACAGCAGAATCACTTCAAACGACGATGAATTCGTTCCTTATGGGTGGATCATCCATAACATCTAATAAACCACTTATGCTCTTAACAGGAACATATCCTGAAAATTCAGAAGAAAACTACTTAAATTCAGCTGCTCGAAAGTGTTTTTTTAAACCATTTTAACCATAGAAATTAAATCTGACTGGAAAATATACACAAAACTTTTCAAAAATATTCGACTCTGAAAGAAACACCACATCAAAGAGTTTTATGCATTGAAAGTAGCAGACTCCCAATTGTTGAATTACTAAAAAAACTTGGAGTACAAAAAGAAACCTTTGTTCGAAAAGCATACTCTCTTAATAAACATGATTTTAAAAAAATGAACGAAAATTTAATTATGGCTCTTACACCTCAACAACGCAAAATTGCAATCAAAAAGAGAGCACCGCAATCATCATCAATTCGAGAACCCAATTTTGGCTTTTGAAAATTAGTAGAAAATATAGAACAAATTGAAGAGTCATATAGAGTCAAGTTGAAATTAGAAGAAGCAGAAAACCCCAATGTGAAAAAAAAGTTTCGATCAAAAACTTTACTTATCAATAAAAATCAAGACTCCGAAAAAAAATTAGCTGAATGAAAACACACAAATCTGAAAATTTCATGAAACGAATCAGATTCTCAGTGGCAAACCTTCATTTAAAAAATGGTGTAACTTTGCTGAATGCAGACAAAATAAGCAACACAATCTAAATAGACCATCAAACCAAAAAGAACCAAATAAATTTTCTTACCAATACATGAAAAAAAAATCAAAACATACCTGAAAAAATTCAAGATAATGATAGCTCGCGAAAAGCACTTCCAAACAGCTATAACGACAACAGATCACAATCTCCATTTTCAAATTATTCTCGCGGAAGATTATATGATCGACAAAAATCACAGAACTATTCACAAAATAGATAACTAGATCAAACAGTCAAAATAGCCAACAGAGGAATAATTGTTCCAAATCAAATTCTAACAGGAGTAATTACACAAAATACTACAGAAGTTGCTCATATCACCCATAAAGATTTATTTTTGAAAAGAATCCAAATTTCAGAGGCAAACCTTTATTTAAAAAAGGTGTAATTTTTGTCGCAGATATGGACATATTATTGCGCTGAATGCAGACCTAAGCAGCAATACAATCTAAAAAGACTACCAAAGCATAGAGAACAAAATAAATCTTTTTACTAATACATGAAAAAAACCAAAAACAA